GGAGGATCTCAAGTTCCAGGCCAGTCTCAAAAACTTAGGAACCTATTGGGGGTGTGGGGGAACGGCATGGCAAGTGCCATAGCTTAAGGATAAAGAGAGTGTCCCTATGGCTAGGGTTATAGCTCAGTTGTAGAGCACTTGGCTAGCATGTATGAGACACTGAATTTGATCATCAGCACCACATATAAATAAACAAATAAAAGGTCCAAAAAAAATGAGAAGAGTGTCTCCCTGGGTGCTCCCTAGTATCTTAAAAAAAAAAAAAAGATAGAGCACTATATTTTATTTTATATCAAAGCAACAAAACAACTCTCTTATAGGGAGGGAAGGAAAAACACAGGGCCCTGTTTGTTGGTGACATCAGGTGTTCCAATAAAAATAGCAGTTTCTAAGCAGTTGCATTTTAAGAATCTCACTGAAGGATCAAACAGGAAGAGAGAGAAATTGTTTAAACGCAAATAACTTCAACAATTAAATAACTGGCATGACTAAGCCAGAAAAACAAGTGAAAAGCAAAGAGACTGACATTTGAGCAATTTAAACCCTCCAAGCATGTGGAAGTACTTATAATTTCCACTGCTACAATCTAAGTTCCAAAGAACAGAACAGTTTGCAGGCTTCCTGCTTCCCTTCACCTGCTGGGGACACTATGTGAAGATAGTTATTAGATGCACTACATTCTAGGCAATCCCAAAAACATAGTATGAAGCTGTCATCAACTGGCAAAACCATCTGGGAGGCCACTCAGCTGTTAAATGTCTAAGTTTCAGATGCAATTCAATCCCTTCCCATGGCTATCAATGAACATACTATAAGATACTCTGCCTGAGAAATTCTTTCCAATTATGGGATTAAGACAAATAAACTTTATTGAAGAGCAGAAACAAGTTACGCACACTATCACAATTTTCCTGTCAAACCTTTACATCCTTTATCTTTGATAACCAACTTAGTGACCAATAGTTAAATGTCCCACAGTATCCCTAGGAAACTTACAGGTCAGATTTTCTGACAGAGGCTCCTGTTTTCTCACTCACCCAAAGTTAATAGTGACATGGATATACAACATAAGCCCTTAGAGGATCTAGGCAAAGGAGTATAAGGCAGCCCTCATAACGTGGCTCACTGTATTGGAGACTGCTCAGGCATACTATTTCTTTTGCCCTCAGCTAAGAGAACTCCCTGAACTATTCTCAGGTCCACCTACAAGGAAAAGCACAACATCTTTTAAGGTTAATATCTTAACTTTTACAGAACGGAAAAATGAAAATGTATTTAGGAAACACTCTAAGGAATGCTTGAAATGCTAAACCTAAAAAACACTGTAGGGTTGGGAATGTGCTTCAGTGATAAGAGTACTTGGCTAGCATGCTCAAGGCCCTGGCTTTAATTCCTGGCACTCCCAGTGGTAGAGTGCTCACCTAGCAGCACTGCAAAAACAACAACAAGCTGGAGATATAGCTCAGCTGGCAGAGTTCATACTTTGCATGCACAAAGCCCCAGATTCAATCCTCAGCACCAGAAAATACCAACAACGTAACAAATACAGGACTATCATATGATCCCGCAATTCTTATTCTGGGTAGATGCCAAAAAGAAGCAAAAGTGGCATTATGTGCAACAAAGAAAAGGTAGAGCTGGGCACAGTGGCACACACCTGTAATCCCAAGCATTTGGGAAGCTGAGGCAGGAGGATCTTAAGTTCCAGGACAGCCTCAGCAATTTAGCAAGACCCTGTCTCAAAATAAAAAGCAGAAAAAGACTAGGGTTGTAGTTCTGTGGTAGAGCAACCCTGGGTTCAATTCAAAGTATCCACTCACCCACTCCTCTAAAGAAAAGGAAAAGGAAAAAGACAATGAAAGGGGAACTGCAACTAAAGAGTCCACCAACAGATAAACTGATAAACAAAATGTGGCACATATACAAAATGGAAAATTATGTGGCCTTAAAAGGAAGGAATTCTGACACATGCAACAAGACAGATGAAACCTGAAGACACTGTGCTAAGTAAAATGACCAAAATTTTGTAGTTTCCTAAGAGGTTTTGTTTTGTTTTGTTTATTGTAGTGGGGACTAAACCCAGAGGTGCTCTCCACTGGGTTACATCCCCGGCCCTTTTTATTTTATTTTGAGACAGGGTCTCATTAAGTTGCCCAGGCTGCCCTCAAACATATGATCTTTCTGCCTTGGTTTCCTAAATTGCTGGGCATGTGCCCCTGCACCTAGCAATAAAAGCTTTAATATATATAATAAAATTTTTACCACCCCTATCCTGTGAAATAGTTGATATCATCATCACTCCTGTTTTACAGATGATAGAAAGAGGTCCAGAGTGGCTGGGGATACAGCTTAGTTGGTAGAGTGCTTGCCTCGCATACACAAGGTCCTGGGTTCAATCCCAGTACCACAAAAAAAAAAAAAAAAAGAGGTTCAGAAAAACTAAGTAATTTGTTCAAGGTCATATAGTGAATGATAAAGACAAAAATTAAAACTCTAGTTTTTCTAATTCAAATTTCCATGCTTCTTTCATGATGTGTTCTCTATTTACCTCCATAGTAGCTTTTGCTGTAACTCTAAAAGAAGGAGGTATTATGGTATGGAAGAAAGAACTCTAGGCTTAGAGTTCGATGGCCTACTATTATCTGTTTTACCACAATTCGAGATCTATAGGCTCAGTTTCCTCAGTGGGAAAAAGTATATTTTAAGAATCTTATGACAAGGGCTGGAGTTGTGGCTCAGTGGTAGAGTGCTCACCTAGCATGCATGAGGCACTGGGTTCGATCCTCAGCACCACATAAATGTAAAATAAAGATATAGTGTCCACCTAAAACTTACAAAAAAAATATTAAAAAAAGAAACATATGACATAATCTATAGAGTTTGAAGATTAAAAAGATAGTATATGAAAGGGCAGCACAAAGTCTGGCAATGATAAAAACAGATGTTAGAAAGAAAAAAAGGTAAACTTCTGTGCTTAGTATTTTCCATGATCTAGACTCAGTGTGATAAATTCAAATACATCTTTCCAGTAATCTCTTGAGAAAAGTGATAGGTCTTTTTTTTTTTTTTTTTTGCTACTTTAGGCATACATTCTAATTCATTAGCAACCATGAAAATGATGTGATTATTCTCTGCAGCAAGCTCATCAGAGAAGTTTGAGGAATGAAAATAAAAGTAGAGGCCTGACAGAGTGATGCAAAGCAAAGGAAGAGGTCATGGTTAGGGCATTTTTTCCTAAGGTTTAGCCCAATTTTATCTCCATTATTTAGAAAAAGGAGAGGTCAGCCAGGTGTGATGATGCACACTTATAATCCCAGCTACTCAAGAGGCTGAGGCAGGAGGATCACAAGTTCAAGACTAGCCTCAGAAACTCAGTGAGACCCTATCTCAAAATAAAAAATAAAAACATCTGGAGATGTACTTTGGTGGGAAAGCGCCCTGGGTTCAATACCCAGTATCCCACCCCACCCTCAACAACAACAACAACAAAAATAAATAAAAAGAAAAGAAAAAAGGAGAGACCCGGAGCTTTAATCATCAAGCTGTTTGATGGGTCGGTGGAGAGAATAAGGACAGCAGCCAACCCAGAAACCACTGAAAGGAAAGCTAGAGATAAAGCAAGCACAGAGGAATGTGTTCAAGGAAATAGGCCCCAAATGAAAAGAAGCTGCCAGGAAAGCCTATGTAAATACACAACATAAATTATACCCATATGCACTTCATTCTCTAGCACAGAACTTTGTGCTTCCTTCAAACACCCACATTTGTCATACTGCTCTTGGGGTCACAAAGAAATATTTGGAAGAAGACAGTTTATAGTTCCTGATTCTTACTGAAATTCATATTTATCATAAGACTTCACCACAGTGTCTAGATTATTTGCTAGATATAGATATGCATTTATTTGTGAGATTTATAAAATTGTGTTTGCTGCAAAATGTCTCTGGGGACAGGTAAGGAGTCCAACCTTCATCGCAATCTTGTTAGCACATCTCACCCCCTGCTCCCTCAGCCCAGCCCTCCTCACACACAAATTTTACACTTCTTCTTTTATTCTCAGAAGTGCCAAGCACTGTAGTAAATAACTGCAGGGACAGGACATTTTACCTTTAAAAAAAAAAAAGAGAGAGAGAGAGAAAGGAAAAATAAATATACAGAAACAAACATCACACCCCAGCTCTGTCACACATTAGAATCTATAACCAAGTTGTAAATGTGCATTACTATTATGGGAATGTCTGGAAAGGCTTACATCTGGAGCTAAATCAAGTTCCCCATCTGTTGGATTTGTCTCTTTTACTCAACATTAATTTTTTTAATTGTTTGCAAAAATGATTTAATAACTATTGAGAGATGGAAAATCATAGGCACAAAGGGAAGAAGGAAGAAAAGTCAGATTTAGGTCTCATGATAGCAAAAGCACTTTCTCCTCTCCACTTATTGGCAGTTCACTCCTGTGAGTGAAATGCTTCTTCAAGACTATGACTACATCTGACATAATATCATCCAACATATACAGAACCATGTAACTGCCTTGCTGTTTCATAAGGAATCTAAAATCACTTAGCCCTATGTCCAGACTCCATTTGCTTCTCTTTACCACAAATAGAAACAGCACATATAGTAAAATGTCAAAGTTCTAGATCCCAATGAGTCATCCACTAAAGTCATAAAGAACAGCAGAAGAAATCTTCAGAAAAAAACTTTCAGATGACTTATACACAGAAAATACTTTGGCAGCTAAGATGCCTGAAAAGGGCTTGCAACCATCTCTTGGTACAAAATTCACAGAACAGCCAGCACTTCGAGCTGTTTCAATACGATCAAATGAAAACCTCATGTACTCCTGCTTTTCTTGATCAAGTATGACAATTTCTTCCACTCCTACAGACACCAGAGCTTAAAATAGCAGTAGTGTTCAATGCATTCTACTTAGAAAGGTACAATAAACCTCAGAATGAGTCAAGAACTCTGAAAGAAAAAAAATTTTCATTTCTTACCTGATATTAACCAATGCATGGGTCACCTTGCTAGCTGCTTCCTTCCATTGGCCTGCATTAGTAGAAAGTCTCAGGACTGTAAAGAAGCAAAGAACACAGATCTGTCAAACCCCTGATATAAAACACAAATATGAGGAATGAAAACAAATCTCAAAATAGCACTATTAGAATAACCAAACAAAGCCTGTGCCAATCTTCTGTTACAAACATCCTCAGCCTAGAGAAAAATATAAGGGCTTATAGAATCCTTTCAGCTATATTCTTTAGAAATTTTTTTCTCTAATTTCTTATTTTCTATCAAAATACTCTAGCCAATCTGTCTTGGGTTGCACTCCATCCGCCACTCCCTAATAACAGGGTTCCAGTAGTTTTTTGGGGGTTTTTTTGGTGGGGCGGGGGGAGGAATGGGGTTAACTGGGGATTGAACTCAGGAGAACTTTAACTCTGAAACTCTGAACTACATCCCCAAAACTTTATTTTTTATTTTGAAACAGGGGTCTCACTAAGTTGCTGAGGGTCTCACTAAATTTCTGAGGGTAACCTCAAACTTATGATCCTCTGCCTCCCATCTCTCAATTCTCTGGGATAATAGGCATATGCCACTGCACCCAACTCCAAAACTTAGTTTTTATTTTCTTTTAAAATATAGTCTGGAGTGATAATTTGAGGGTAAACTGGCTTCCACACTTGTCATTTCTCTAGTGGCGTGGGCTAATTTAGTGGAACTGGCTAAGTTGGTATTCCCTCCAGCTCCAGGTATATCTTTCCAAACCTAAAGGCATACCCTCAAACAGGGAAAATAAATTTTCCAGATAGAGGGTAGTCATGATTCAATCACGGAATAATTTATTTTTGCAAGTCTGACTTAATTGTGTGACCCGTAGAATGAATCAACAGGAAGATTCTTCCTTACCTGATTAAACTCTCTCTCTTTCCCAAACTCACCCATGGAAGAAAAAAATAACAAAAATACAAAACTAAACACATCTTATGCCAGCTATGCTCTTCAGAGTCACATATTGAAGTATGCAACTTAGAAAAAAGACAAAACAGCTCAAGTGCTCCTTTTAAAACAAGAAGAACTTGCTAGGCACTTCAATTATATATTTTAATGAATGACTCACTAAAAAGAAGTAAATATATAAAGAATTTACTACATGCCAGATACTGGACAAAGTTAGATTGTATGCAATATGACAAACAGATAAGGAAACTGAGATTTACAGGAAACAAGTAATTGAGATCCTTCACACAAATTGCAAGTGATAGAGGTAGAACTTGAACCTAGAGGGAATTACTCTAGAACCAGTGTTTATGCAGAGAAATTAGTAGTTAAAAAGCATGATCTCTGGGGCTGAGGTTGTAGCTCAGTGGTAGAGCACTTGCCTAGCATGTGTAAGGCACTGGGTTCGATTCTCAGCACCACATATAAATAAATAAAAAATAAAGGTCCATTGACAATATATATATAAATATATATATATATATACACACACACACACACACACATATGTTCATATATATACACATATACATATGAAGAATTAAGTGAGCTAATACCTATAAAGTTCTTAGATTAGTGACTGCCATAGAGCTCTGAAAGTTTTAGATATTGTTGATTTCAATAGACTGCCTCCCAAATGAATGAATGAATGAATCTACCTAAGACTTTCCAAAGGAAGGAAGGAAAGAAAGAGGGCCTAACATTAAGAAATGTGTGATCAAGTAGTAGACACCTATAACCCTTCAACTTGGGAGGCTGAGGCAGGAGGATTAAATTTGAGGCCAGCCTCAGCAATTTAGCAAGACCCTATCTCAAAGTAAAAAATAAAAAGGACTGGGAATGTAACTCAGGGTTTTAAAGTGTTGCTGGGTTCGGGGCTGGGGATGTGGCTCAAGCGGTGGCGCGCTCGCCTGGCATGCATGTGGCCCGGGTTCAATCCTCAGCACCACATACCAACAAAGATGTTGTGGCCGCCGAAAATGAAAAAATAAATATTAAAATTTAAAAAAAAAGTGTTGCTGGGTTCAATCAAAAAGGAGAAAGAAAGAAATGTATGATCAGTTTGCATAGGAATGTCATATTGAATACCATCACCATATGCTCCTGATCCAGGATCCAAAGCAAGAAGAATAGCAGCAGTAGCTCTATCAGAGGGAAGGCCTGGGGCTGTGATTAGTTAACAAAACTCATCTGGCTGTTCTGCATCTGTTCTATCAATGCCTCCATTTTATAAATACATGTAATTTTATAAAAGACAAGATGGAAGCCTTAGTAAAACATTATCAGAGTGCTGTTTTTCTAATTTATAAGGTTGACTGCAAGAAAAATTGGGATAGTTTCAAGTTAGGGTTCTCCATTCCGAATTCAGGTTCCACTTATTATATATGCAAATTTATTCATAAAATGAACCAAATTGCTTCAACAGGTCAGACATGTCTTTTGCAACTCAAATGTGAAGATTACTTAGATGCATTGATTTTTTTTACTAGATCATAAGTTTTCTGATAATAGGGACCTAAACATATATGGAATTATAGTACACACCTATAACCTTATATGAACATATATGAACTGAATTGTCCCCTCTTCAAATTTTAAGAGGTGTTTAACTTGCCCACAAATTATTTCTCCAAAATATCCTGTCAGCTCTGTTCCTTAGTGGATGGGCAACCATATGACCTCACCATGAAATTCTTTTAGTAATGCCATTAGGGTTTTTTTGGGGGGGAGGAGAGTATCAGGGATTGAACTCAGGGGCATTCTACAATTGAGCCACATCCCTAACCCTATTTTGTATTTTATTAGAGACAGGGTCTCACTGAGTTGCTTAGCTCCTCACTAAATTGCTAAGGCTAGTTTTGAACTCGAGATTCTCCTGCCTCAGCCTCCCGAGTCGCTGGGATTACAGGCATGCACCACTGCGCCCAAATGCCACTGGTTTCTATGTTCTCTACTAAATGTAAAAAAGAAAATTATTTCAAAATGCCTTAAATGCCTCGGACTAAAGCAATCATTTGTGTAGTAAATTATGTTATACAAAAATTACATATTATGTAGCCATTAAAACAGAGACTTAAAAAATAAGAAAGGGAGTTGTGGGGTCAAGCATTGGCTTGGCTAGCATGATTTCAATCTCTGGTACAGCAACAAAAAAAAAAAAAGAAGGAGGAGAAGAAGAAGGTGGAGAAGAAGCAGGAGAAGGAGGAGGAGGTAGAGGAGAGGAGGAGGAATAGGAAGAGAAGAAGGAAGAGGAAGAGGAAGAGGAGAAGGAGGAGGAAGAGAAGGAGGAGAAGGAGGAAGAAGAAAGAGAAAGAGGAGCAGGAAGAAAAAGAAGGGGAAGAGAAGGAGGAAGAAAAAGAAGGGGGGAGGAGGGAAGGGGGAAGAGGAAGAGTCGTATTTAAGTTAAAAACACAAAATTTAAAAAATAAAGCCAGCATGATGGCACACACCTATAATCCCAGCAACTCACCAGGCTAAGGCAGGAGGACTGCAAATTGGAGCTCAGCCTCAGCTGAGACCCTGTCTCAAAATAAAAAATAAAAAGGACAGGGGATGTAGCTTAATGATAAAATGGCCCTGGATTCAATCCCCACTATCAAAAAAACCCACAAAATAATATATTATGATTACAACTACATTAAACTATGTGTGCATGTGAAGCAATATACAACATGAAAATTATTACATAATAGTACTAGAATCAGGGGCTGGGGTTGTGGCTCAGGGGTAGAGTGCTCATCTAGCATGCACAAGGCACTGGGTTTGATCTTCAGCACCACATAAATGTAAAATAAAGATATTGTGTCTACCTAAAACTAAAAAAAAAAAATAAAATATTTTTTAAAATAATACTAGAATCAAAGGTTTAAAAGATTTTAAATTTTTTCCTGTGTTCTTTCTTTAGTATTGGTAATTATCCCTCTTTGTAAAAATGGAAAGAAAAAAAAAAAGGTTCAAAACAGGATGGGATTTATGGTTCAGGCCAGCTCCTGTAGAAGTCCTTCCTACTACAGTAGACTGCAATAAAATAATACCATAGGGGGCTGGGATTGTAGTTCAGTGGTAGAGTGCTTGCCTAGCACACATGAGGCACTAGTTTCGATCCTCACCACCACATAAAAATAAATAAAATAAAGGTATTGTGTCCACCTACAACTGAAAAAAAATTTTTTTTAATAATACCATAAGAACATTAAGCAAGTGCCTTTATCAAAAATATCTCAGTAATGCCAGGCATGGTGGTGCATGCCTGTAATCCCAGCAGCTTGGGAGGCTGAGACAGGAGGACTACAGGTTCAAAGTTAGCCTCAGCAACATCAAGGCCCCAAGCAATTCAGTGAGATCCTGTCTCTAATAAAATACAAAATAGGGCTAGGGATGTGGCTAAGTGCTCCTGAGTTCAATCCTTGGTATACACACACACACACACACCCAAAAAAAAAAAAAAAAAAAAAAAGGTCTCAGTAAACTGTGTTCTGCTAGCCATGATGCGATAACAAGACACAATTTACCCTCCTCCCTTAAAACACTGGGCAAAATATATGAAACAATGGTTATCAGACACTGGAAAACAGGCAAGATGGAGCTGTGATACCTGACAGATGGAAAACAAACATGCACCCTATGATTACCCCAACTAATTACATGGAGAAGTTTCCAAGTAGCAGGGAGAAGGAACCTAAACAGAATTGCCAAATTGAAGACAGAGATCAGCCTTTGGAAAGGACAAGGCATCTAGAAAGTACGGGGCAAAGAGCTGGCAAGGAGGGATTTTGACAGAAAGCTCTAGAGATCTGTGGACAAGTATACTTATGTCTCTCGCTGAGCCCTAATGTGTACATATGGAAAAGGAAACTACCCAAGGCTGAGGACAAACCATGGGAAAGGAGGGATTGGGGAGCTCATGGCAGGCTCCAGCAGCAGGAGTGAAAAGACCTACTAATATATGGAGTATAAATCAGGTAGACTCTGCAAACGGGTACTGCATTAGTAACGGAGTCAAGTTATCCTACATTAAAAGTTGTTCTTGACCTGCCCTCAACCCTTAGAAATAAACCTTGAAAGAATCAAACTGTTTCCACATCACATAACCACATTCCAGAACAATGCCCAACATTAAAGTAACAATAAAATCCAGCATCCTTATCACAAAAATCACAATGTTTATGACCCAAAACAGGAGAAGAATCAAGCAACAGAAAACAGATTTGTGGTTGCTAGGGGTTGAGAGTTGACCTCATAAGAGCACAAGGGAAATTTTTGGAATGATGAAACACTTATATTTGATTTTAGTGATAATTATACTACTAAATGCATTTGTTAAAATTTAGAACTGCACGTTAAAAAGGGTGAATTTTATCCCAGTGGCTCAGGTGGCTGAGACAGGAGGATTGAGAGTTCAAAGTCAGCTTCAGCAGCTTAGTGAGATCCTGTGTCTAAATAAAATATGAATAAGGGTTAGGGACGTGACTGAGTGGTTAAGTGCCCTGGGTTCAATCCTTGGTACAAATAAAAAAGTGAATTTTATTGTCTATATAAATTATACTTCAAGAAACTTAACTTAAAAAACCTTTTTTTCTACCACAAGTTTTATCACATTTTAACATGAAATGGGGAGCACTGTTAACAAAATATTGATGGTACTTCAATTAGTAATGTTTTTCCCCCAGTGCTGGAGATAAAACCCAGGGGCACCCTACCACTGAACTACATCCTTAACCCTTTTTTATTTTATTTTTTGGGGTGTCAGGGATTGAACTCAGGGGCACTCTACCACTGAGCCACATCCCCATCCCTATTTTGTATTTTATTTAGAGACAGGATCTCACTGAGTTGCTTAGGGCCTCGCTAAGTTGCTGAGGCTAGCTTTGAATTCGAGATCCTCCTCTCTCAGCCTCCCAAACTGCTGGGACTACAGGCATGCACTGCCATGTTCGGCTATTTTTTTATTTTGAAACAAGATCTCTAAATTGCCTAGGCTAGCCTCAAACTTGCCATTTCCTGCCTCCTGAGTAGCTTTGATTACAGATGTACATCACTGCACCCAGCGGTTAATGAAAAGTTTTACTTTGCTATTTGTGCTTCCTAATTAAATTTTCATTCCATTGGTAAATGTGGGAATTCATAGATATCATCTCTATCTTGTTGCTGAAGCTACACAAGGGCTTATCCCATTTGACTGGAAAAATGGCCAAGTTGGGCAGGTATGTGAGGCTTTCAAAAAATATCTCTTCCAAACTCACCCTTCCTTTCCTCACTGAAAGTCATTTTTATTCATCTAAGATGAATGCCAAAGCCTCTGAAGCAGTTCTTCAACCTTAGAAAATTCTACATTTTCAGAAAACAAGGATTTTGGTAAAGCCAAGCAGATATAAACCATAACAAGGTACAATGAGCACATCTGGCCAATGAGAAGTCAGTTGAAGGGTTCTCAAAGATGACTTCCTATCTCCTAAAAAAAGAGATGTATCTTGACATTACAACCAGAACTTGCTGTTTTGAGGGGAACTGACCTGATGCTAAAGCTCTTACTTTGAGAATGAGAGAACAGAGAAATAGAAAAACCTGGGTTCTTGCAGACATTGCTGAGCAACTGATCATACCATTCTAGAATTCTTTCTTTCTTTTTTTTGGTATTGGAGATTGAACCCAGGGATGCTTAACCACTGAGCCACATACCCAGCGCTTTTTATTTTTTATTTTGAGACAGGGTCTCACTAAGTTGCTTAGGGCCTCACTAAGTTGCTAAGGCTGGCTTTGAACTTGTGATCTTACCTCAGCCTCCTGAATTGCTGGCAGGCATGCGCCACTGTGCCCACCCACCATTCAAGAATTCTTACGGGTATGATAATTTTTGTTCCTTAGAGTTATTATAAGGTATAATAATTCTCCTATTGTTTGAGATAGTTTAAATCAGAATTTTCTGACACTTGAAGTTGAAACCAACCTTCGAATAGCTCAGTTGGTAGAATGCTTGCCTTGCATGCACAAGGCCCTGGGTTCAATCCTCCACACCACTTTAAAAAAAAAAAAATTCCTCTACTACTCCTCTAAAAGCTAAAGTCTATTATAGAAAAAAATCCTCTCAAGACAACTCATCTTTTCTGCTATTTGCTTCTATTCTTTTTCTTGGTACTTGTTCTAAATCCTCTCTACTTTTCTCATTATGTAGAAGTTCCAAGGCTGGAGTTTTTACAAATATTCTCATCATGAGGGATGAAGCAAACTAATACATAGTGACAGAAAAGAGATCCACGGCTGCCAAGGGATGGGACACAGCAGGTACTGGTGGGGAAAGGAACATTAGAGAAGGGACACAAGGAAGCAAGGACACAAGGAAGGCAATAAATGAACATAATGAATAAAATAAAAAATGAAATAATGAACATAATGAATATGTTCATTATCTCAATCACTATGATAATTTCACATATATCAAAATTTATCAAAATATGTATATTTTAAATGTGCAACATTTATTATATATATTATACATCAATAAAGCTAGTGTCAGGATTTTTAAAATAAGATAGTTTTACTGAGTGGCTTTCTGTTTTTGTCTACAAATATCTTTCCTTACCTTTCAAATTCCAGTTAGGATTCACTAGGCCTTTTTCCCAAATTTGCAGATACATTACCTTATACTCACTGTGGCTGTAAATTTTTAGCAAGCCAATTACTAAAAGCTTTTTACAAAAAAATTATATTTATCCAATGCCCACTCCTTCTTTAAGTAATACTAAAAATAAAAATACAAAGGTACAGTAAGATTCCTTAAAACTCTGTACTTTCTCAAAGGTATTATCAGTGGTATGCAAATCGCCATCTCTTACTGGCTTACAATATACAATATTCCTCTGGAATCCAAGCTCTTCTATTTGCTGGTATCAAATCCCACCCACTCTTTAACCCCCATTTCACCTGCATTTGCTGAATCCAAGACCCTCTTTATTCTCCCTTTCATAAACATCAACAAAATGCTGATAACCAGCTTTGCACTGAGATGAAATCTGAGTTCCTAAAGGCAAAATAGCCCATGTGTAGTTTCCTATTGCCTAAGAAGAGGAAACCACTGTACTTCTATGCTGACCAAAGGCAACAACCCACTGGAGTGCAATCTTTTATAATATTTCCGTTTTATTCGCCAAAAAACAGACAGGGGATGGAGAAAGCAGAGCAAACAAAACAAAACAAAACAAAACAGAAAAATATAGCTTACCCATGGAGTAGAGGTTGTCAAAGCTCTGATGCATGCGGATAATCTCATAGTAAAGTTCATCATAGCTGCTGGGGGTTGGTAGGAATGTGTCGCCATATGTGATAAACATATTAAATAAGTTCACAATCTAAAAAAGAAGCAATAGCCCATATAGAGGCATCAGGCTATGAAGATCAGAAAGGTATTATCAGTGGTATGCAAATCGCCATCTCTTACTGGCTTGCAAGAGTTGACAGTCAAATTTTCAGGGACTGTGTAAACTGGTTGTAAAACACAGCAATTTATATTAAGAATTCATTCATATAAATGTACAATTAAATAAATTATATTAAAATGAATAAATAATATAAAACTTATCACTTCCTAATTATTTTCTTTTACTATGACCTATGATCTTGAGATTAATTTACATCTCTTATAATCTGAATGGTGAGAATACCATATAATGGTGTGCTACAGTACATATCTTCTCAACTCTGTATGACTCTAATGTCATGCAGATAGCTTGAAATTGGCCATGGTGGGTACAATTCTACAATGTAAATTAGCTTAGTCTACAGATCAGGACTTTTCCCCTTTAAATGTTAAATATCCATAAACAAATAGAGATAGTCAAAAGACATAATGGTATTCTTGTACCCAAAAAAACCAACAAACAGGCATTTGTAATGTCCCTCAGAAACCCAGCACAGCCATGACAGAAACACTCATCTGGCTGGGACACCTCTAAATGCTTTGTTATTTACCAATGTAGAGACTACAGTAGTGAAGTAAAGTCTCTCAGTTGGAATCAGGCTCACTATTCATACACAGAAATCTGACCTACCCCCATAGCTGCCAGGCAATATACTCTCATGAAGGAAAAAAGAGTTCTGTTTGTCAAATACATAGGTAAGAGTAGGGACACTAGTCTAGAGAGATTCTGATCCACAAGGAAAATATATCCAAATTCTCGCTACAGCTCAGTCCCCAGACTACCAACTCCTGTTTCAAATCAGCCCATTTCTGACTTAGAATATGGCTTTCAAAAAAGAAATTTTGTATTACTCACCATAAGGGCTAATGTAAAAATGTTGTGTTTGGCCAAAAGTACAGTTTCATTTGACATAAGGAACTTCAGCAAATTTATCAAGGCTTTAAGGGGGGGAAAAAAAAAGATATCAACAAACTATGCAAACCATGATCAATAAAGTTAAATGAAAGCACAGTAGATCTATAGATGTCCCTGTTGTTAGCATGAGTAAGCCTTAGCCACCACGGTGTTTTGTTTTGATTAACAAGTAATAATTATATATATTTATGGGGTACAGTGTGCTATTTCAACTCACAAAGACAGTGTGTACCAATCAGGGTAACTGGCATTTCTATCTCCTTATTATTTATTTCTTTGAAGCTTTAGCGCTCCTTTCTTCTAATACTTAATAAGTTATTTTAATCACTCCATTGTACCACCGAACAATGGAACTTATTCCTTCCATCTGTCTTTGGTACTCTATACAATGACCCTCTGTCTTTCCCACATCCACTTCTCAACTTCTAATAATTGCTACTCCACATTTGGATTGACTTTTTAAAACTTTTGTATATCCGAGAGAAGATGTAGTATTTGTCTTTCTGTGCCTGGCTTATTTCACTCAACTGTCCTCCAGTTCCATCCATTTTGCTGCAAATGACAGGACTTCATTCTTTTTTTAAGGCTTAAAAATAAGTCCATTGTGTATATATAACACATTTTAAAAATCCATTCAACTGGTAATGGGCACTTAGGTTGATTCCATATCTTGACTACTGTGAATAATGCTGCAATAACATGAGAGTACTTTGGGTTTTTTTGGTGCCAGAGATTAAACTCAAGGGCACTCAACCCCTGAGCCACATCCCCAGCCCTATTTTGTATTTTGTTTAGAGATAGGGTACCACTGAGTTGCTTAGCACCTCACCATTGCAGAGGCTGGCTTTGAACTCGAGATTCTTCTGTCTCAGCCTCCCAAGCTGCTGGGATTACCGGCATGTGCCACTGCACCTGGCTACAGGTTATCTTTTTGATAATTACAATTTAATTTCCATTGGACATATACCCAGAAGTAAGACAGTTGGTAGATCTATTTTCAGGTTTTTTTTTTTTTTGTAGTTGTAAATGGACAGAATGCCTTCATTTATTTTTGATATGGTGCTGAGGATCGAACCCAGTGCCTCACACATGCTAGGCAAGCACTCTGCCACTAAGCCACAGCCCCAACCCCTATTTTCAGTTTTTTGAGGGAAAAAAAACTCCATAATGGCTATACTAATTTACATTATCCCACAGTGTATACTAATTTACATTATCCCACCCCTCTTGTCTACATCCTCCCACCATTTGTTATTTTTTTCCTTTTGATAGAAGTTATTCTAATTGGAATGAGATATCTCATTGTGATTTTTGATTTGCATTTCTCTGATGGCTAATGTAACTGCGCATTTTTCATATTTGTTGATCATTTGTATTTCTTCTTTTGTGAAATGTCTATTCAAATCATTTGCTCTTTGTTTTTTTTTAATTTGTTTTTTGCTGCTAGGAACTGAACCCAGGGCCTGGTGTATTCATGTTCTACCACTGAATTACACCCTTAGTCCCCTGTGCATTTTTTAACTGAATTACTTTATTGTTATTAAGGTTTTTGTTTGTTTCATTTTGTTGTTAGTTCCTTATGAATTCTGAATATCAATCCTTGTCAAATGAATAGTTTGCAAATATTTTCTCCCATTTTGTAGGCTATCTCTTTATCAACTGATCATTTCCTTCTTAGTTTAACATAATCCCATCTGTCCATTATGCTTTTGTTGCTTATGATTTGGGGGTCTATTATCTCAATTCTTTTAAAGAGCAGATTAAGGACTGGAGGTATAGCTCAGCAAAAGACTGTTTGACTAGCATATGCAAAGCCTGAGGCTTAATCCCTAGCAACAAACAAAAAATAGTTGGTATATGTAAAGTAAGCACTAACCTCCCCAGGCCCACATCTGCTTATCTGCTCATATAAAGTTTTAAAAAACCTACTTCATTTCACCATTTCTTAAGTAGCAATTAAGCTCAGAAATCTGACTATAAAACTGACATTTCAGTGTTCCAAATTTACTCCTACACAGTGATTTCCTCATCAAATTTCCTCAATTTACAGGTAAAAATGAGGGTCCTCTTCCACCTCAAGCTGCTAAGCATCTAATGTTAAAAAGCTTTAGTCATATTATCTGATTCAAACATCATTGCTATCCATTCTAACTGGTCACCATATATGGCAACAATACTTAGAACTTCTACTCTAAGTGGTAAGGTAGCTAATGAAGAAAAAAAAAAGTACTTAAGTGTTAAGCTATTCAAATAGAAGTGAAGCTTGCTCTATCTCTCTTGACAGTGAAAATATTGACTGAAAATATTTCCTCTGCCTTGCAACCCTTAGTGAGGGGAAGGGATTGCTAAAACTGAGTAATCTCAGTAAAGAAAGTGACTTCAAGTCCCTAGGTTAACAGTACAGTTTTAAAGACATTTTTGCAAACAAGTGCTAAACATAAAGCAAATTCTCAGTTGCCTTACACTCATTCACCTAGGACATCTGTCCATGGAATGAATCCTGCTTCTGAACCTATCTTGACTAATGCTACTGTACATATTCCCCTTCTTGATAGGAAACTATTCAGAAGGGGGTCAGCAACTTAAAGCATTCTGTGGTCTGTTTTCTTGTCCTCATACCTCCCTCCTTCCACAGATGGGAAAAAAAAAAAAAACTTGATCTCTCCTTTTCTAAAACCATATCTATTTCTTTGCCAGCAAAAAATTCCATTCTCCCATGCTGCCTGAGCTTTGTTTTAAGTTAACTACTCTTAGAGATGTGTGCTTTGATTTGGAACAGCAGGGAAGGATCAGTAGGAGTAAGACTCCATAGACATTGCTGCCCATCATACAACAATTCTCTCCCCTAGTTATCTAACAGAACAGGTATAATAAACAAACAGCAGGCTGGCCAGTTAAGATAGCATATGCCTGTAATCCTAGCTACTCAGGAGGCTAAGGCAGGAAGATCACAAAATTGAGGCAGCCTGGACAACTTAGCAAAACACTGTCTCAATATAAAATTTTAAAACAAAGGGCTGGGGATACAGCTCAGAGATACAGTGATTGTCTAACATATGCAAGGCCTTGAGTTCAATCCCCAGTACTCAAAACAAAGGAGAGAAAAAATATATATATCAGGCAAGGAAAGTACAAGAGTCTGGTTGTACCTACCTTCTGTTTCTAAAGCCTAAATTTTCCCCTCAAATGAAATAGGACATGCTAGAATTGAAGGAGGCAGGCATCCTCCTTTATGAACTTTTTACCCCTGCCCTGATATAAGTTCTCTATGATTTTATGATCAGGCAAATGACAGACAGCTGCCTTTTTTTTTTTTTTTTTTTTTTTTCAGTCCTGGGGATTGAACCTAAGGCCTCAAGCATGCTAGGCAGGCACTCTTAACACTGAGCTACAGCCCCAGTTGGCATTTTTATGGTTATCTGTTAACAAGTGATCTTGTTAGATGAACTGCAAAAAAGAAAAAAGAAAGAAAGGGGGAAAAAAGGCTCCACAGGAATCCATTCTGGTTCACACATAGCTTGCTTAGCCTGGAGCAGGGAAATGAAGATAGATAGTTAAGAATCCACATAAAAATGACTATCCCTAGCTCAAATGTCTCTCCTGATGAAGATCACCTTGCTGAGTGAGTTAGGGGCTACATACTTCACCCCCTTAACCCAATGTTCTGACAAACTCTCCGAATCAGACTCCATAAACTCACAGGCACAGAGAAAGGGCTGGGTAGCTCACAGAGAAAGGGCTGGGTAGCACACATGGCTTTTGTCCTCAGCACTCACACAGAACAAAGACGCAGGCTCAGCAGTAGATATGTGGTAATTAAGGGGCAGGAAACCTGGAGAAAAGGAAGCAGAAGTAATGATTTATTACTCCTCTGCTTGCCTACTGCTAGTCTTGATCTCTGGGATTCAGAGTCAGAAATGACAAAGTGATAAATATGAGGAGGAGAAGAGAGCAATTTTGGCACAGGTCAAATGGCAACCTGTGTCCCAATGGCCAGAGACATCAACAGAGTCAAACAGTCTTGAGGAGGATCCAGCATTGTGATCCTCTAAGAGTCAATACTGTGGGACCTGTGTTCTGTGTCTGATAACTCAGGCCAGACACCACTACCCCTAAAAGCCACCTGGAAATAGTAATGCTCTAGAAGGATTTCAACAGGAAGCTAAAATCATACACACACACACACACACAAATTATCTTCAAGAGAGAATGCCCCCCAAATATTCTACAAAACAGTGCTTTTCTCTTTCATTTTCTCCCTCACTCACACTCATGATCATATCAACTGTTCAGTATCCTATATGCTACTGTACATATTCCCTCCCTCCCTCCCTCTCTCTCTCTCTCTCTCTTCCTACTCTGACCTGATGATACAACAGAAGTTCTAATTCTGTGAAGCTCTGACAGCTGAGTATGGATTTTTAGAATTAGACCTTAGAGGTCATTCAATCCAATTTCCTCATTTTTGGGTAAGAAAACCCCATACCTCATTACACTCCACCTCATCCTTGCTAGTGACTAAGCTGGGATTAAAAATTGGCTTCTTGTTTATAGTATTCTCTCTACCCTTTCCATTAAGAATAAATAAACACATTGGGGATATGGCTCAAGTGGTAGCACGCTCGCCTGGCATGCATGAGGCACTGAGTTCGATCCTCAGCACCACATAAAAATAAATAAAGATATTGTATCCACCTAAAAAAAAAAAACCTACAAAATATTTTTTAAAAAGAATAAATAAACAAGGGTACTAGATCAAGTTGAATATTAAAGGGGCAAAAACAGCTTATTATAAATGGTGTGCTTCAGGTTATTATGTTCTTGGTTCCTCTTTTCTGCTTATTAAAGCACAGGTGTTTATTACCTTCCTACTACTATCAACACTGGAGGACACCTAGTAGCTTAGCTCAGCAGGAGCCACTTCAGCAGTCCCTCTCATTCTTATGAGCCCTGTTTCATCTGTACATCTCCCCTTTCACACATCTCTTTCCCCTTCTTTGTCTATCTTTTGTTTAAGTACATA